TATGTATGTATGTATGTATGTATGTATGTATGTATGTATGTATGTATGTATGTATGTATGTATGTATGTATGTATGTATGGATGGATGGATGGATGGATGGATGGATGTATGCATGTATGCATGGATGGATGTATGTATGTATGTATGTATGTATGTATGTATGGATGCATGCATGCATGCATGCATGTATTCCCCTGTAGAGATGGTCACAGGGTTGATTGGTGAACCACACCACTGGGGTTCGATCCCCAGAAGATGCATATTTGGAGGAATTTTAAAGAGTTAAGCGTGCTAGCATGGGAGTAGCAAACATTAATGGCGCATCGCGCATCGAGGCTCCAGACCCCCTTGGTGCATCGGTATGCATCGCGCCTTAGATAACTATGCATTTAAACCACACAGACCCCGTAGGTACGTACGTACGTATGTATGTATGTACGTACGTATGTACATACGTATGTAGTACATACGTACGTACTTACGTATGTATGTACGTAGGTATGTAATACATATGACGTACTTACATACGTACGTATGTAGGTATGTATGTAGGTAGGTACCTACGTACCTACCTACCTGCGTACCTACCTACGTACGTACATACATACCTACATTTGTGGACAGAAATGAGAATGCTTTGTTTTTGTTCGCCCATGGTGCTATTTACAAAGTTCAATTAAATTACGAAAGTGGCACCATATTTTTTTAATTTTTTCTTATTTTTCAAATTTTTATGGCTCATGGTTCTCACATTCTAAAACATCACATGCATTCTCATTTCTCTTCTAAGATCTCATTCTCACTGGAACCAATACACACACACACACAGATATATATATATATATATATATATATATATATATATATATATATATATATATATATATATGGGATTGACTCCAGTGAGATGACATGCTACGGTCAGATGACGCAAAGCTTACTAAAAACAACTACAAAGCTCACCAAAGTGTAAGGCAAAGCTCACCATATTTTTTCAAAGAAAGGGGTGCTGACTAGACTTTGACCGTTGACCGAGACCTTTCACCGTCGCCGCCGCCTACCGCCGGTCACCGGAATCTGCCGCTGCTCCGTCGCCGGTCGCCGGAATCCGCTGCTGACTGGTGGTTGACCGGTGTTCCTATTTTATTTTTTATTAATGTTTAACTTTCAAAATTTAAAAAAAGGTAATTTTTGGTGTTCAAAGTGGTGAGTTTTACTTTATTTCTAGGTGAACTTTGCATTGTCCATTGGTGAGCTTTGTAGGGTACTGAGCTTTGGGTCATATCACCGAAGTATGTCATCTCAGCATAAGGTGTCATCTCACTGGAGTCAATCCATATATATATATATATATATATATATATATATATATATTTCGAAACAGTTCTTTTGACCTTATGATCTCGAGTCATATTATGACCTGAGCCCCTACGGTGCCCCGTTCAAAAAATTAATGGTTTCTATCCTCCTAAATTTCCCTAAACCCTACCCCCTGCCCACCCCACCACAACACCCCCCTCCCCCATTACTGTATCCAATCGGCAAATGGAGGGGGGGGGGGAGGGGGTTGCTGTGGTGGGGTGGGCAGGGGGTAGGGTTTAGAGGGGGGTTAGGGGGGTAGGAACTATCAATTTTTTGAACGGAGCACCGTAGGAGCCCTGGGTTATGATATGACTCGAGAACCTAAGGTCAAAAGATCCCCTCTGCGTATATATATATATATATGTATGTATATATATATATATACATATATATATATAGATATATATATATATATATATATATATATATAGATTATACACACAGACACACACATACATATATACATTTGTACACACACATGACAGATATGTACGACGGGGTAAGGACTAGGGTAAAGACTGTCAGGGAGTAGAGGTGAAATTACACCGGGGTTAGTCTTTAGCCTCTCCTGTTTTCTCCAGTGATGGACGCCTTTTCACAGGGAGTTCAAGGGGAGGTTCCTTGGTGCATATTATTTGCTGACGATATTGTGTTGATCGACGACACACACGAGAGACCTAATGACAAGCTGGAGATTTGGCACATTGCCCCGGAATGTAAAGGCTTGAAAGTTGAAACTATGTAGGAATAAGGCTGAATACATGGAATGTTTTTTAGTCACTGAGTGAAAGACTCAGAGGTAGAAGTTAGGATTGATCTCGACCTCGTGCCCTAGGTTGACCTGTTTCAGTATCTTGGATTGACCATTCAGGCGCATGGCTATTTAGACGGGAATGTTGCACATCGTGTTGGAGCGGTTGGGCAAAATGGAGGTTGGTTTTGGGGCTTTGTGCAATAAAAAGATTTCGGCTACGATGAAAGGCAAGTTTTATCAATCTGTAGTTAGACCAGCTATGTTGTATGGTGCGGAGTGGTGGGCAGTTAAGAAGAACCACGTTCGTCGGGGGGATGCTGCAAAGATGCGAATGTTGCAGTGGATGTGTGGAAAGACGAGGTTAGATAGGATTCGGAATGTGGTTGTCAGTGGGAGTGGCAATGGTTGAGGATAAGTTGTGGGAAGCTACGCTAAGGTTGTTTGGGCATGTGACACAACAGAGTATTGAGGCCCGAGCGCGGAGGTGTGAGAGGCTCACGATGATGGGTAAGGGTGGATGTAGGGGAGAGACCTTGGAAGAATAGGGAGATAATTACACAGGACCTAATACTTCTGACCCTTACCGATGATATGGCCTTAGATAGAAACTTTTGGAGAAGTAGAATTAGAGTAGTTGGATAGTTTTCTTACTTTTTGCTTTGTGCTTTCTACTTGCTATGCCTTTTTCTCATTTATATCAATTCTCTTAGTTTTTTGTGTTTGTGTTTCTCTGTTGTATGTGTCTTCTGCAAGTTTGTGCTACGTGTGTCACTTGAGCCAGGGGTCTATTGGAAATAGTCTCTCTACCTTTGGGTAGGGTAAGGTCTGCGTTCACACGACCTCCCTAGACCCTACATTAGTGGAATTCAACTGGGTTGTTGTTGTTGTTGTTGTTGTGTGTGTATGTGTATATATAGACACACACACCCTCCGTCCCAATAAGATCACACAATTTGAAGAACGTGCAAAACCTGTGCATTTTAAATTTAATTTTGTTACAAATTATTATAAAAATAAAAAATGCAACTTACATATTTAGAAACAAATATCAAAAGTTCTAAAAATAAGTGGTGACAAGAAAATTTTGTTTTGTCAAATGGTCAATAAAAACATGGAAACCAATAAAATTTATCGGGAGGCCAAAATAGTGTGATCTTTTTCAAGACGAAGGGAGCAAATATATAAGTTTTCTTGTTTTTTTGAGAGGTAATTTTTTTTCTTTTAAGATTTTATAATTCCCCAATATTGACCCCTTAAGCAATAACAATAAAATTTTAATATATGTCTATATTGTAATTTTGGGAGTTTATTTGATAATTTTTATTTAATTGTACCATAGAAAAATTCTAGAATGCTTATAATTTTTTTGGTTATCTCTTAAATTCAATAGTAGTTCTTATGAGGCTTTAATAAACATGGTTTTATAGAACTAATGTTCATTAAAGTCATTGATTATAGTTACATTTTAATTTAATTCTTTCATTTTCTTCCGTCACTCATAAGATGTAAATATTTTTTTTAAAAAGAAAGTTAGGTTTGAATTGATTTCCTATATTGAAAAATTTAAGGATTTAGTTTACAAGCTTGTATATCTAAAACAATTAATGGTTTTAGTTGTTTTTATTAGAGCTCCTTTAATTTCTTCTCTTATTATACTTTCATTATTCGAGGAATTTTATTATCCTACTTCAATATTAACGATGATGATTATGATTATTATCAATTCATTATTATCAAGTTTAAGACATATTCTGTGCAATGTTTTTTATGTTAGACTGGTTGATCTCATTGATTAGACTTGAATCTTCATGCATCTTGGTCTAGCTTTTTTATTACTCCTTCGTCCCAAAACTTGACATTACGGTTATGATGTTTGGTTGAAGTTATTTTTAATTCAATTTACTTCAATAATGGCATAAAGTTTAAAAGTAAAATTCATATATTAAAAAACTAAACAAAAGTTCTGCAAAACTAGAAGTTACATGAGTATATTATTTTATCGAATGAGTAACAAAAAATGCAAAGAAAGTAAAATTTTTTGACCATGTGAATAGTAAATGTTAAAATCTTTTATTGTTCCATTTGCATATTACGTACCCCTTGTTTTTTAACTAACAAAGAAGCTATTGCTCTTGTTTCCTGACATTGAAGTTCTGCTGCATTTCATGCCTGTCATTAGGTGCTTATGTACCTTGGACCTGATGTACTGAGGGAGGTCATTGAGAATGCTGAGCTATATCCCATAAAGGGGCTGTTCAACTTCAGAGATTATTTTGATGAGATTGATTCATACTTTTATCAAACAGTTGCTTTTGATCTTGGGGTTTCAACTGGATGGAAATCACTGAATGAACTATACAATGTAAGAAATTTTTCTTAATTTTTGAATTTTCTTCTTCCTCTGTCTACCAAAAAATCATTTATCAAGAACTTTCTCTCCCAAAAAGAGAGCTCGGTTTAAATATATCTATTAAGCCAATCTATAATCTTGTTTAGTCTATCCTCCCAAACCATGGTAGTCAAGATCGCGATCTGGATCGTACGATTGTACAATTCAATAGATCGCCAAGGTGTTTCCGATCTGACTCGTGTGGAAAATCGCAATTCTTCTCCGGATCGTAAGGATCGACGATTTGGACCATCCATTAAGCCAATCTATAATCTGTTTTAGTCTATCCTCCCAAAGACCCAAACAATCTTGGACATAAGTTTTAGGAGAATAAGGCTTTGTTCTTTTCGATTGGAATTTTAAAGTTGGATGCTAAAAGAAACTGGAAGAAGTTGGAAGATATTGGAGGGAATTGGAAAAAACTGGAAAAGTTAAAAAATGTTGGAAAAATAAAGTGTTAAAAAATCATTGAATTAAATGATTACCCAAATAAATATGTAAGAAAACTATTTTTGGATATAAAAAAGAATTCACCTTTATCCGTGTTTGAGGTCTGATGTTATACATTTGGATATATAATGTTATTTTATAGTCATTATTTGTGAATACATTTTCAAGTCGTTGGAAGAAAGTGGAAGGAGTTGGAAAAAATAGGAAGAATTTGGAAAAAGTTGTAAGTTAATTTTTCCAACCGAAAAGAACAGAGCATTAGGTGACCCTTGATTGAGTTGACTAAAGATAAAAGTTTACCTTACTCAAACGTGACCCTTTTTGGTGACTGAGCATTTTTAATTTCACGTCTCCACATTCTCTGAAGAGGTTATTTATCGTCAAAATGTCAAATCAGATTTGAAGTCACCCTTGAATTAGAGTATGAGATAAAATGGGATGCTTTACTGATGCTGATCATTTTTTTTACTGCACAAGAGTGTTATCTTGTCCACGTAAGGGCAATATTGTCTAGATTATTGATTTTGGGTGTGTCATTGGTAGTATTAGGTTGTGCCTTGTTTATATGCTCATATATGATACAAATAGATAGTTAGCATTGATTGTAACAATGACCCCTGTTCAAAGTTCTTATTATTAAAACCTACAATTTCTAGGCTTATTGGCTTAATTGCTTAAGTGTACTTCCTCCACCTAGAACTACAGGAATTTATTTTCCCTGTAACTTTTTCAACTTCCAAAATTGCTTTCGGATCCATTATTGAAAATGTTATTATGTTAACCATTTTAAAGCTACATTATTTAAATTCATGAACTTCACTATTAGGGGCTTCTTCAGTATTTTGTTTGTTTCCCAAATTTAAAAAGGGTTTTTACTATTGAAAACTATAAACAAGATTATGCAAACTAGAAAAGGCAATTTTCATTTTTTTGTTGGTAGTTATCGAAATCAAAATAATTTGTAAAAGTGTGACTTGTTTTTTTGTCTTTCATGCAACCTATATCATATAACTTTTTAAATGGTAACATACAAAACATAAGATTGATGGTATCAACAAGCATTAGCAGATCTGAATTGGTGTCACATTCATTCTGCATGAGTTTTTGAAGCATCTTTTGGCACACATCCTTTTACTGGTATAGTCCCTGATTCATCACATACTTCTGATACAATACCAATTAGTGAGATAATGGAGGATTTGGAGAAGTTAGTGATCTTTTTTGGAACTTGGCAGAGCTTCTTTAACTGCACACTCCCAAAAGAGTGGAAAGAACGCAGTCCCTTCCAACACCTTTCAAAAAAACCAAAAGCCTACTCACTCACCTAAAACAATAAGACAAAAGCCCTCAAACAAAGGAAAGAAAAATTACATTTCCACCCTCTGAATGTGCTAGAATAATACACCTTGAGATGATTCTTTACAATTTCTGCAGTCTGCACTCTCCTTAGCTGAAGTACTCTTCTTCTTGTAGAGCAACTCATTTCTAGCTATCCAAGTCCATTACCATATGGCTCACATAACTCTAATAAGGGTATCTCTCCTCTTCCTGTTACATCCAAGTCTATAACAGACCTGAATACTCTGATAAGGGTTGCTTCCAAGATTCCGTCTATGTATACGCATCTAGTTCAGCACTATGTCACGGAGCGCACTGGTATAGCCCCCAATTTAGTGAAATATTAAGACTTATATTTCTTTGTTTTGTTTTAGATATTTTATGTTTGTTAGGATTTGGTTAATAATTTTTAAAATTATTTTCAGGTAGTTATTCCCACTATTTGAGTTGTGGATTAATGCGGTAGTTTTAGGAGTATATATAGGGAGTCAGTTTACATGATCTAAGGGAACTATCTATGTGTTATTTATTTAGTCTAAATGTATTCCAACCTTATTAATAGGCCAGTCATATGAGAAGTAAAATATTGTTTAAGAAATAGATATTTTGTTTTATCCAATTGGAGATTCTCCTCTTTCGCACTATTGAGATGAGCATCGTGAGATTCTTGCTTTCTCTATCTTAATAGAGAGTTATCCTTGGTGTTATTAGTCGGATGAGTTCAAGATACTTGCTTATTCTCTAATAAAGATTTCTCTTCATCTTTATAACTACATATTATATATGATTAGATTCTGATTTTATGAATTGATAACAATTTATCCTTTTCATTTTACCCTCCTATTTGGTTCCTGGTCAGTTGGTATCAGAGCCATCCTATCCAAGGGTAGTGCGTTCCAGATTCATCATATCGAAATAAAAATTTCATCTTGCCGCAAATGTCCTCACTCTCTTCTTCCAACCTCATCTTAGTCCTACTCGTGATATTTGCTACAGCAATACAGTTAAGTTTCAAGACTAAATTATCTGTAATTCTGTATAATTCAACTATGATGGAAGCCAAGGATGATATGACAGAATAAAGAAAAAGGGAACCACTATGATGTAAGCCAAGGATAATATGACAGAATAAAGAAAGAGGGAACCAAAATTCTATTTTCGTGAGATGCAGCACAATTCATGGCATCATCCAGGGGCCTTTATGCTATTTATCCAATTTTGTTTACTGAAACAGGAAGCAAAAGCAGATTTGGATTTGGAGCTTTCCTGCCAAACATGTGTTGCTTCTGGTTCACCTTGAGTACGAGGTGAATTTCTAAGGACCTAATATGGATAGAATACCGATAGGATGAGTGAGATAATGGATGATTTGTTGAAGTTAGAAAATTCTAGGAATTATATTTATTTATTTATTTTGGATATTTTCTATTTGCGAGTATTTAATAATACTTTTATTTCATTATTTATTTATAGGTAGTTATTCCCATTATATTTTTGATACATTAGGTTTTCCAACTTGTGTCAGACTAATCCTAACGGCTTGTTTGTTTGGGAGGGAGGTTAGGGGAAGGAAAGGATGAGAGGGAATTGGAAGGGATGAGAGGGCTTTCCTTCACCTCGTTTGGTTGGAAGAGGGGAAACGAAAAAAATTTATTTTTATTATCTGTTATTTATTATTTATTTCAAGTATTTTTATTTATATTAATTTCATTATTATTATTATTAGCATTATCATTATCATTATTATTACTACTATTATTATTATCATTTTATTTTTAATATTATTATTATTATTTTAATTTGTAATTTATAATTAAATTTATCTGTTTATTTTTAATATTATTATTTTATTATTTAATACTTTTAATTAATTATTTTATTATTATTTTATTTATTAAATATTTTTATTTTTTATTTTTATTTATTTATTTATTATTATTTATTTTATTGTTATTATATTTAATCTTATTATTATTTTAATTTTTTTAATGACAAGATGAAGAGAAAATTGACCGAAGAACGGGAAGAAGAGCACAGGGAATGAGATACCCTTCGATTTGGAGGGATTGATTTGGAGAGGAAGGGAAGGAGGTGAAGCTAAAATTTTGGACTCCCTCCCGTCATTTTTTAAAACCAAACAAGAAGAGGGGCTTAGTTTCCTTCCCCTCCCCTTCTTTCCAACCAAACAGACCCTAAGCGTGTAAGACCCCACCCCAAGAACTGTAGAGGAGATAAATCTGGATTCTTTTGTCCTTCAAGTTCCTACATAGTCAGTATACTTCTGCACACAAGGAGTCATCAGTCATCACATACTAACCAGTCAGCATCTCATTGATTTTGTTGGTTCCTCTGTTATTCGCCTCAGGTTTTCAGTAGATCCAAGCTCCCACACTAATGTTGGAAATGAGATATACGCAATTGATCTTACCAAAGAGCTAATGCAGGAGCTAGATGCTTATTGATGGAAAAACTCTTCACCTCGCCTCCCCGTGACTCGAACTCAAGAGTCAAGACCTCGCAAAGAAGGGTCTTAAGTGTAGGAGGTGGTGACCAAACGAGCCACTCCAACTTGTCGTTATTCCCATTATTTGAGATGAGGCATAGAGGAGATAAAGGAACAACATTTGACCTTTCTTATCTTTTCTTTCTCTTTGTGAACTTAGTCGTTACTCGTCGCTTTCCCATTATTAAGTTTTTTCTTCATAATTTATTTTGATGCGTGTGTGTGTATGTGCGTGCTACTCATAATACAACCCAAGCACAATGCAAACTAGTTTCCAAGCGCTCAACAATGTTTTCCTCGAGTATTCTCTGGCTATTCCCTCTTTCTGAATGAATATTGATGTTATTATTCAATCTTCAAAACACAAACAGCAATTCATTTTTGTTAACACTACTTTATTTCTCGCACCATTCAGGCATCTCTGATATTAGTGCTTCGTTTCTTTTTTCACTCTCAATCAGGGGCTCCCATGAAATCATGTGTCTGACCAAGTGTGAGAGCTTCAAGTGTTGCAATGCCTCCCTTTTCAGGACTCTTTCTAGATTCATTGTGACATGTTAGAATCACTTTAGGAATTACAATATGGTGACATGGCCCAAATGACATTGGTAGGTTAATCACCAGTCACCAGTCTACAATCCACTTCTACCTCAGTGTACCATCACTATTATGCCCAGATGACATGTTGTTTCATACTTTTATAAATAAGACTCGCTTGTATATGATTTTTGACTAAATGCAACACATTTTCTTCACATGGAAAATGACCACGTTTAGTTGCACTACCTCAAGCTTTCTTTACTTTGAAGATCAATTGTTAGATATTCTTTCTAGCCTCTTAGATGTCCTAAACAACAAAGTTTAATCCAAGATGTGCACAATCTTATCAATGTGAAAACTGAGTGTGTTTCAGTAGACCCTTGATTGATGCATTTTTGCATTTGCTACCTTAAACTTCATAGAAAGTGAGAAGCAAGGGAAGTGTAATGTGCTATTTTGATTTAGTCCATTATTTATTGGAAGCTAAAACATTGTAAATAAGTCTCTTTTAGTTCCATTGGTAATACAACAACAACAAGGCCCTAGGTGGGCTCGGCTACATGGATCAAACGACGCCATTCCGTCCTATCATGTACCATACCTGCAGCGAGATCATTCACGCGAAGGTCCTCCATGACCACTCCGTGCCAAGTCTTCTTAGATCTACCTCTTCCTCTAGCCACATGTCTATTCACCATTTGATCAACCCTTTTCACCGGGTGCTCTATTGGTCTTTTAGTTCCATTGGTAATGAAGTTAACATAAAATATATCTGTATCAAGCTTGGTGTATGTAATCTATGTCCTACAAGTCTACCACTTTGGGGGTGGTGTTGATTGTAATTTGTAAACCCTAAGAATCGTGGGTCTTGGCCCAACTCATATCTTATTACTACAATTTAGAAATGCAGGCATCACATACACAAACCCTAGTGCCCTATTGTCTTTAGTGCGTTTGAATTGGAAAAAGGTTATAAATCATTTGCAAACAAATAAGGTGATATAACTTCTCATGTTTGTAATTACATCATTGGGTATGTTTTTATTCCACTAATCTGCCATAGAACGTTAAGACATTAACTAAGACCTTTCCCAAGGATAGCTCATGAGTGTTTTATTGAGTAAATTATTTAATAGTGTTTGACAGATGCAAGCAAGAACCATTACATTTGGTGATGAGGGACCATTACATTGAGTGACTGCTATCACGCATGTGAAATGGTTCTTTCGGAGAATTTGAATTATCCTTTTTTTCTGACCAGGTTGTACCAGGAGAGTTGACTGTAGTTACTGGAGTTCCTAATTCAGGAAAGAGTGAATGGATTGATGCACTTCTATGCAACCTTAATAGAAATGTTGGCTGGAAATTTGCACTTTGCTCTATGGAGAACAAGGTTAGCTTGTTTATTTTAGCCAAAATGCTAACTTGCAATCAATTATTAAACCATTAATGATAATACATTATACATGCATAATTTTTCTCCTTGGTTTTATAAAACAATCAAATTTGGCTAAAAATATGTTGATTTAAAAAATAACTGATTCGGATTTGTTCGGGTATTGGTGTAGCATACTGCAAAAACGGTTATAGCACCAAGATGTTCCTCTGAACGAACTTGTGGTGCATAGGCACTTGCCACATTAAGTTCTTATTGACTTTCATTCTCACAAATGCAACACTTTGACCACTGATATTAATGATTCATGTAATTACAGATTGATAAACATTACAAACCTATAGTATTCTGAAAGAATCAATTTAAAATGTATCTAATGATATTAAGTTTACATTATAACTAAAGTTTTTAAATATCTTAAACCCATTAATAAAAAATCTAACATCAACAACTGGAAAAACATAGTAAAATCCCAACACAATTAGGCTCTTTTTTTTGGGGGGGGGGGGGTCAAGATGTACGCAACCTTGCCTAGTAATACAAATATTTCAAGCTCACAAATTAAACCATACATCCTAGGCTCACACCGCTTTAGGCAAGAGGAGTAAGTTGACAGAACCTCCCTTTCTGCTCTTCTAATCTTTGTATGTGGTTTACTTGTTTGTAGGTTCGGGAGCACGCTAGGAAACTCTTGGAGAAACACATAAGGAAGCCTTTTTTTGATGTCAGGCAAGATAGAACAGTGATAAATGCATGTTAATTTTTAATTTTTTATTGAAGTGAGTTCCATATACGGTGAAGGTGATGCAAGAAACGGAGGTAGAGGTTCTATGAGAAGTGGGAGAGAGAGAGGGAGAGAGAGAGAGAGAGGGAGAGAGAGAGAGAGAGAGCATGTTCACCCCCTGAGTGTAGTAGTTGGACACAGTAAGGGAGTCACATGGACCGGCGCAGAGATGGGCGTAGAGACACAGAGAGAGATGCAGAGATAGAAGCTTCAGCAGTGGTGTGAGATGCGGATGAGACAAAATTTAAATGTGTGATTAGGAAAGTCCAAAGCACGAGTGGGGGGGAGAGACGCCATACATGTAGGCCGAAACAGAAAGTTAAATTTTAGATTACGGAAATATCTGCTATGATACCATGTGCAATTGTGAGGATTGTGAGGCAACTTGCCATAATTAAAGTTACATTATGGTTACAGTGCATTAGGGCTCAAAGCCCATTAAGCATACATATATTATATATACACACTAATTGTACCACGTGCTAATGATATTCAGCTCTTTACCTACCTGATACTGATTCTTGCTTCACCTAAGAACTTATAGAACTTCGTCTTTGTTTGTGTTAGGTGATTACTTAAGGCATACGTTGACATTCCCAACTAGGAGAAACATATTGCCTTTGTTTTGATTTTATTTTTTTGGTTGATGGTGGGGGACCTTCACGTTAATGATCTCACGTTAATGATTTTATTTTTTTGGTTGATGGTGGGAGAGAGAGAGAGAGAGAGAGAGAGAGAGAGAGAGAGAGAGAGAGATACGGCGAATAGGGTGTTTATGTGAATATCATTGCCCAGTCAGGAATTTTTTTATTGTGTCGAGGACAACCGAAGAAGTGTATAGGGCGATGCGCCATAATCTTTCATATTACTACGTAAAAAACAAGATACGTAATCTAGTCAACTAACAAGAGAGGAAAATTGAAACTTAAATCAGAAGGCCTTTCCCTTGAGAGATAAATGATGCAACAGACTTAAATGGATATCTGGGGCTCTATGCCCAAATGTCAAACTTCTGTCAGAAAATTTGATGGCTATGGAGATGGTTCCAAATGGAAATTGCGCTTCTTTCGCTCTCTGTACTATTAAGTTTGTCTACACTAAAATGCATTTGAATGGTTCATCACCTGCATTTCTTTGAAATGCCGAGGTAGGAGTGATGAAGAGGCAGTAAATCTCCTTTTTCCTTAAGAAATAAGAACATAATAGTAGAAGCAGAATCCATAAGATTTCAGATATGCTCTTAACCATCTAAACCGTTTTTTTATTGCAGGTATGGGAAATCCGATGTGCGAATGAGCCTTGATGAATTTGAGCAGGGAAAGCAATGGCTAAGTAGTACATTCTCTCTTATAAGGTGGAATTGGTTTCATTTTGGTCACCTGTTTTCACATTCAGTCATGTTTTGCACCTTGTAACTTTGTAATTTGAGCTAGGATTATAATGTAACTAGAGAAAAATGTACAGTGCTCTATCTGAGTTGCAAGGTAAACGCATGTGCCTTTAAGATGACAAGCAATTATGGTTGTGCCTGTTGGCTTTTGCCATTCTAGAGGTAAGCCCATTTGCTGAGAGCCCATAGGAATGTAATAATGGGGTTGGGCTGTCTTGCATATTCGATGTGCTTGATTGATTATATTTTAAGGGGGCTGCATACAATCTAAAAGTGTTGCCTTAAGCATGTTTTATGAATCCAAATACATGTGTGTTTTCATCTGAAGTATATTCCTGAATTTTTATGTCGACTTTTCACCAGATGTTCATTTCTTCAATATAAATGGTGTTCAGGTGTGAGAATGATTCTCTACCGAATATAGACTGGGTTCTTAAACTTGCAAGAGCTGCAGTTCTGAGGCATGGTGTGAATGGACTTGTGATTGATCCGTATAATGAGCTCGATCATCAACGTCTTCAAAGCCAGTGAGTTGGTTTATCCACCTCTTTTGGAGTTATAAATATGAGGGGAGGTAATCTTACACAACTCCAATTGGTCTAAGATTGTTACACCAATTCAATTGGAGCACCTACGGTGCTCTGATTGTAAAATTGATGGTTCCTACCCCACCTAACCCATCCGGTAATCCCCTCCATACTGGGCCTGTTCTTAATGCATTCTCACACCCCTTCCAATTTTACCACCCAAATTTTTGTTGACTATATGGTCAATTTTTGTACTCAAAATTTGGTTGGTGCAGTTGAAGGGGGTGCAAGGATGCGTTAGGGCCGGGCCGGGTATGAGGGGTTTACCAGGGGATTAGGTGGGATAGGAACAATCAATTTTACGATCGGAGCACCGTAGGCGCTCCAATTGAATTGGTGTAACAATCTTACACCAATTGGAGTGGTGTAAGATTACCTCCCCTCTATAAATATACTTTGCCTTTATGCTTCTTTCTTTATCATTCTCATGCCAGAGTAAATATTGAGTGTTTTTTAGGACTGAAACAGAGTATGTTAGTCAAATGCTCACAAAGATTAAGCGTTTTGCGCAACATCATTCTTGTCACGTTTGGTTTGTAGCACATCCACGTCAGGTTTGTAGTTTGTACTCTATGTCCCTATTGTACTATTAGTACATTCAAAGTTAGACCTGCCACTTAACCGCAAAAAAGTAACCACTCTGCATGTGTTAACAGTTGCATCAATGGACTGGAGGCCCTCCAAATCTTTATGATATCAGTGGAAGTGCACATTTCATAAACAAATGTGACAACGGAATTGTTATTCATCGCAATCGGGATCCTGAGGCTGGCCCTTTGGACCTAGTGCAGGTGAGTGTAACATTTATAAGATCAGGTGTTCTTCAATTTTGGAATTCGGAAATTTGAGTTCCCAACCATAAAACTTTAGGTTTGTATAAGGAAGGTACGCAACAAGGTTATAGGAACAATTGGGGAAGCCTTTTTGTCATACAACAGGTATTTAATGTATTATTTTTTGAATGTTTCATTGTTTTACATATTCGCTATACTCCATAAGTTATATACAGGACGGGAGTATCAATTTGTTCATTTCTAGCAATTTTCCTAGTTTATCAAGTATCAACTAACATAGTGGCTTCCTCTTTTAGTTATATGCATGACAAGAATGTAAAAGATAAAAATTTGTTCATATATAATTTGGCATTTGGAAATTTAAAATGGTTTATAATGCGGCTATATATGTTTACTTTTAAAATACAGATACAAATACAAATACATGCGAGTAGTATATGGCTAGTATTTATAAAATTCAACTAATGCATGTGTTTGTTTCGACAAAAAGAATATATCAAGCCTTCTTAGATTCACAAGTTCCTATAAGCTCTAGTACACTCTCAATCATACAAACAGTAACACAGAAAAATAACTAATACGAATAATTTTCTTGAATATTTGATTTGATTCGTTTACAACCCCACTTGGAAGATCCCATCATTCCATGGTTTCTCCTTCTCCTGGAATAAGTGATGGGTGATTTTGCTATCAGTCGTTCAGTACTCCCCCGCTGGAATTGCCCCTTGTCTTCTAAATGGAAAGGTTGAAATTGACCAGCAAGCAATTTATAATCTTACCACATTGCCTCTTCGGTTGGGCAGTTCCGCCATTGTATTAGTATTTCTAGTGTAGGCCGCCCAAATTGAGAACTGCAACGATGTTGTCGGAACGACTGTACCCTAAGAAAAACAGTGTCCCCAACTTGATAGGACACTTCTCTTCTTTTTCATCAAGAAGCACATCAATGTTGGGTATTGGTTACTTGTCGGGGATGATTTAATTTCCTATAATCAGTACAGAATTGCCCTGTCCCATTTTTCTTTTTAACTAACAAAACTGGACTAGCAAAGGGACTAGAGCTTGATTGTTTGAATCCGAAGCCAACCGGTTTTTATTTAAGTTTCAGTTTCAGCTTTTTGATAATGTGGATAGCAATAGGGTCGAATGTTTAGCAGAGTTGCATTTGGAAGCAACGGAATTGTGTCTGTGTGTGACCGGGAGGGGTAGAGAAGTAGCTTCGGAAAAAAACATCTTGGTAAGCTAGGAACAAATTCTGTATATCATCAGACTGTGGAAGGGTATTACCTAAGACTGATGGCTCCTTGGAGTATGATTGAAGTGTAATCTCAGACTTGGATTTGGATGGAACTCCTTGCAATTTATATCTACTTCCATTCTAGTTAAAAACCATGAATGACTTATTCGTGTTGGCTTGGACTGTGTTTAAAGTTGCGAGGCATTTAATCCTCACCACCAGCCCCCCCCCCTCCCCCCACCTCCACCCCAAATGGAAAATGGGAAATAGTCATCAGATATTTTCAGCTGAGGTAACACCATGAATACATTCCCAAGTTGCACACTAAGACTCGGAATTATCTCCTGTCAAGTCCTATTTCATGCACCAACAGGGTTAATTCGAATTTTGTGGTAACCAGATTTGAGGTCTATTAAATGGTTGCTCCGTGGAGTTCATAAAGAAGCTCATCAAAATTGCAGATTGGGTACTTGTCAGGGATCTATTATTCGTTTAAATAGTCGCCAACAGTGCATTGAATTGGGTTTCAGCTTCAGCTTCTTGATAGTATGTATAGTGATAGTTTCGAGTGTTTGGGAGAGTTGCATTTAGAAGCAAGGGAAATGCTTGATTGATCGGGTGATGGGTAGAGAAGTAGCTTTGGCAAAAACATCTTGGTATGCTAGCAATAAGCTCTAAACATCATCAGACTGGAAGGGTATTACCCAGGACTGATGGCACCTTGGAGTATGATTGAAGTGTAATCTTAGGCTTAGATTTGATGGAGTTCCTTACAATTTACATCTCCTTCTATTCTAGAAGAAAACCATGAATGTCTTATTTGACTGTGTTCAAAGATATGAGCCATTTAATCCTCAACACCACCCCGCCACCTCCCCCCCCCCACCCCAAATGGGAAATAGTCCTAAGATATTTTAAGCCCAAGTAACTCCACGATTACCTTCCCGACATATTCAATTGCACTGAATGTCATCCCCATTCCCAACCTGCATACCAAAAGTAGGAACCATCTCCTCTCAAGTCCTAATTCATGGACCAAAGGGGTTCATTCGAATTGGGTGGTAACTCGATTTGATATCTATTAAATGGTTGCTCCATGGAGTTCATCGAGAAGCTCATCAAAGTTTGGGATTGGGTACTTGTAGGGTGTGACTGATAATCAGAGGTTTTCCTCATAATACATAATTACATATTACAAAATGACTATATATATACATAAGAAGGGTGCTAATATAAGGAAACTATATCTCCCATATTAATGCCTAAATCACCCATATTAATGGCCAAATCAGATTCTGCCATATTCTCAGGACTTAACTAAAATGCTAATATTATTACTAATAACACTCCCCCTCAAGTTGGAGCATATATATTTATCATGCCCAACTTGTTACATAAATACATAAGCCTGGTGCCATTTAGCGCTTTAGTAAGGAGATCTGCTAATTGATCTCCTGTCTTCACAAATCCAGTAGAAATCAATCCCTTCTGTATTTTCTCCCGAACAAAGTGACAATCTACTTCAATATGTTTCGTCCTTTCGTGAAAAACTGGTTTGGATGCAATATGAAGAGCAGCTTGGTTATCACACCATAGTTTCGCAGGGATGGGAGCTTTGAAACCAGTTTCATTGAGGAGGTGATATATCCATATTATTTCACA